GCTTAAGTCATAAAAGTTTTAACAGGTGTATGTCAAACGAGGTTACAGTAGAGGCAGATTTATTCCAGGTATAAGAAAGTTTTCAGTTTTTGAATAACCTCCAAAATAATAAATTGAAAACTCAGATAATAAATAGGTACTTACCTTTTTAATTTTTTTTTTTACTTGTGGAAAATATATTGAGATAACATTATAACAGGTGGATCTGTAATTTTATCAAAAACAAACAATCAATTGTGTACAAGCTATATATATATACGCAGTGTTCTCCTCTCTTGCATTGTCTTATTGCACTTAGTGTTGTCGTTAAATGTTTGTCTTCCACTGCAACGTTAGAAATGGAGAAACAATTAGAATTTGAGGTGAGTGTTTTCACTTACTTGTACAATAGACACACCTGAATCTAAAATTTGGATAAATAATATGATGTAGTAGTAGTTACTATTAAAAACGTTATGATCTCTGGAGAGACATTTTAGATCCCAACTTACTTTAGGTATTAATATTAAGAGTTGCAAAAGGAATATTTTGACGGATGCTCAATTTAGTGTTTTCTTTGCGTACAAAATACAAACTGTTGTAATAGCGTACCATTTGTCCTAGTACACGCTTTTCATTATCCAACCATAAACAAAGTTGTTTAAATTGTACTTCGAAATCGAGATTGGAACACACTGATGTGTTCAGTTAAATTTTAGTTTTTTGCGTTTTCAAAAATTAAGTGGGTTTAGACATATCCAGACAGCACGAAACAAATACTTTTGTCTTATTAGATTACTGTCAATTTGAACGTCTAACCTGAAAACGCAGCGATCAAAAGCAACTAAGTATTCATAGTCGGCTTTGATAGTATTTTTATTGCTTTATCTTCAACTGATAAAAAGGACGAAAATAATGCGAGATTATTTCGAGTATTCTAAGAAGTAGTTAATAATTCCAAAAAAATTGGGTTTAACCAGAAAATATGCATGCATTCCTTTATTGTCAGTTACAAATTTCTATTAAATAAGTTCTAAGATCACGTAGGTAAGTCTGAAAAATGAAATATTTGTTAATTTTCCTTTGAAAATGACTAAGGAGAGAAGACTGTTTAGAATTAGTTACAATATTACTTTATAAATGCTTTAGAGTCTCTTGGTTTACAAAAAACAGTGATAGACTTTTAATTTATATATTATTAAAAAATTTTAATTAATAACTAGATATTTCTGCACTTTTTAGTGGATTTTTATGTACCTATCAAAATTAACTATACATTCATATTTTAACTTGTCAATTTTTATCAATATCTGGTACAGTAAAATGTTTTTTTTTATTACATTTTGAGACTACTCTTTCATTAGTATTGTTCTACATCTCTATTTTTTTACTTTAAATATTTATGAAACAACGAATAATTTAAGAAGTTTTTAGTATTCCAAAAAATATTTAATACATCACAATTACCTATAGAAAAAAAGTTACTTAAAATTTTCTCTGACTTTTAATTCTTTTTCAAACCCATTGTTCGTTTATCCCTTTCCAGACTTTTAAAAAAAGGCCCGGAACCACGGATAAAGGAAAGGAATATGAAGACGTGGTTCTGGCCAAGGTTGTCCTCGAACTAGCAAACGACCCCGCAATAACAAATTTTCATGTGTCATCAAACCAAGAACTCTTTGATGCATTCGACGACTTAGTCATTAAAACTGAGTCGGGTGAGGAAAAGAAGACACGAATAATAGCAGTGCAGTTGAAACACACAGAAAAGAAAGCATTGTCCACAGAAAATTTACAATCTACAAGCGGAGACTTCAGCATAAGCAGATATTATAAGAGTTTTAAAAAAATAAAGGGACAAGCAGACAAATTTATATTATTTACAAACCGTCCGTTTAAGTGTAAAAACAAAACAAAATTTCAACTGAAATCAAAAAAGTTTTATGTAGAACTTGTTAAATCCAGAGCTAGCTCAGAACTTTCAGTGCAGAAAGGCTGTGTGTATCAGTTTCAAATAGCAGAAGGTCCGTCGATTAAAGAAAACGATCCCAAAATTCAAGGATATAAAGAGTTTTTTAATAAGTTTTATCTGTACACTGATCAAGAACGGCTTGAGGAACTGAAAAATACAACGGCCGAAAAATTCGCTACAACGTATTCATCGAGCGACGAAACATTTGATACATTTCTCAGAACAATATCTGCCTGGAGCATCCAAGACGGGAAAAAAGAAATGCTGAACAAAATGTGGATAGAACGTCTAATCGCGCTACTGCTTCTGTCTCCCCACGTCGAACCACTGTCTTTTGACTCTGTTAATGATAAAATGAAAATATTTCGAGAAGCGATTTCCTCTTTCTGCATCACACTGTTCGAAGAAAAATCGTGCCAAATCGTTAAACAACTGTGGGGTGACGTTGGAAATGACAAGAATATTGACTTTAAAGAATTGAATATAGCACGAAAAAGGTATCTACCTACAGTCAAACATATTGATAATAAAAATATGGATCCAAAGATAGTCTCTCAACTGTTATGGTTAATGGACAAATGTCCATTAATATTACATGAATGCGAAAATGTCAAAAAAGCCATCCAGCTCTGTCCCAATAAACAGTTTATTTTGGTTGGCAAAAACAAGAGTGAGGAGTGGATGACGAAGTATTCCAGCTTCCAAAATCTTTCAGACTTGAGACTGAAACCTGGTTTACGTGAAAAATTAATGCAGAATTTTAGTATATCGATCCAAGGAAAGGAAGAACTTGACCTTCTGACAGCTTTTGGAAGCAACGAAGAATTTTTAGAAAACGTTAAAACGGACGATTTAGTGGAAATGCTCAACGGACCATATCGAATAGGTGGAGCAAAAGAAACATTTCCTTATCCTTATATTGAACGCTATGTCTCTCGAAATATTATAAACATTACCTATTTAGAAAAACTCCACGAAAACACAATTATTATTTTGAATTGTGAGAATAACTTTGATAAAGTTACAGACAAACTAAGTAAAAGTAAATTAATTGACATTAATAACTTTTTACAGAAAACAAACTTCGATAATTTAACAAATAATGAAGTTCTTGAGTTAAAATCTACTCCAGATAAATATACAAAAAGCGTAAATAGACCAAGTGTTGCTAATGCAATGTACGCAGGTAAAAAGCAAGTTCAGTTTGAATTTGATGAATCAAAGTTTGCTAACACGATCTATGTGGGTAACCGGCACTATAATGATTGTGAACTTGAACAAATTTATCAGGAAAACAAACAGACAAAACAATTTCATTATTTTAAACTACTGAGTGATGGAAATTTAAGGTGGATTAAGAGCAAAGGGGATGTTAGCGGTTTAGAAAATTATAAATTGTTTGAGAAATATTCTATGAACGAAAACGCACTCTGGTCTTCTCGGTTAGTTAATAATAATAAGATGAATCTAATAACTGGCGATCCGGGAATCGGTAAATCCGAGCTAATGAAAAGTTTCAAAAATAAATGTCCACCCAAATTCTGGACAGTAATACTTAGTCCTCAATACATTAACTCATTTTTTCACAATTCTGAATATTCGAAAACAACAAACTGCAGAGAATTATTTGAAAAATTGTTAGTAGACTTTAAATGTCAGTTGGTCAACAAGTCGGATCAAAAGTTCTTCGAAATATTTATTAAGAAAAACAAAGTTGTTTACGTTTGGGATGCTCTTGATGAAATTTTAAGCCAAAATTTAGATGCCATTTTAAACATAATTCTTCATCTTTCAACAAAAGGTGTCCGTCAATGGGTTACTAGCAGACGAGGTCTAAAAACGTTATTACAGAACAAATTCAGTTTACTTTCCTTTACCATAAAACAGTTTAGCAAAGACGAACAACATAATTATTTTAGAAAACGTCTGAATACTTTTATTCCCGCAGACACAATTGAAGTCACTATCGACAAAATTAAATCGTCGTTTGCGGTCGTAGAACACGTAGACATGCTGGCAATTCCGCTTCAGATTTTCATGCTCACGGAATTGTTTCTTCAAAATAACGAAAAATATATGAAACTAATGGACAACACATTTCTCTTGACCGACTTGTATGATTATTTCATTTCGGAAAAATTGAATATTTCTTACAAAGATAAAATGAAAATCGATCTTCAAAATCCCCACCTGGCTAGCAGAATTCACGAAGAAAAACGAAAAGTTCTAGATACTTACGAACGAGTCGCTTTTAAAGTGGTGTTTCATGACGAAATTCTGCAACAATTAAATATCAATTTTGAAAAACACATAAAAAAATTTGAAAGAAAATATGCACTTCTTGGTTTTGTTAAAGAATTCCAAAATGACGTGCCACGTTTTCTGCACGCTTCCTTCGCGGAGTACTTAGTTGCGACATACTTTTATAAACACATTAGTGAATCCAAAGATGTAATTACGAGTATATTATTTGACGCCAAGTATAATAACGTTCGTTTCTTTTTCGACATGTTGTTGTCCAAAAATTCAAAAGCTCATATTGCCGTATTGTATAAAAATTATGAATTACTCAAAACATACGACGACGAAATTTTAACACTCAAAGATGAATGTGGTAGAAGTGCTCTGCATCTCATTTCGTCGTGGGGGAAAAGACATCCTCGTGTAAACATAACGATGGAGTATCTTGTACACGAAAATCTCAATTTTGATAAAAAATCGGAAAGCGAAGTATATATTGAATCGGTGATATTTTTGCAACAGAAGAACGATGCTAACGAATGTGACACGCTGCTAAACGCGACGCCTTTGTCATATGCCAGAAAAAGTGAAAGCCTAGGGGCAGAACTAAAATTACTTCAAACAAAAAAGAATGAATTGAGTCAATTATGCGTTCACGCCGATATTGTAAACATTTTGTATTATTCCGCCTTACTCGGCTACGATGACGTGTGCACACTTTTCACGGCCGAAACGTTAAAAAAATGTGAAGTGCCACGTATTACTGTAGCATCCGACGAAATGCCAATGATTGACAGTTTCATACTAAATGCGATTGTCCAGTCTGTATGCAGTGTTACATTGCTTTACATAGCTTGCCAAAGCGGCCACGAAAAAATTGTCCAATACTTGACGAAACTCGGTGTCGAAATCAATCGCGGTAATATTAACGATTGGACACCACTTCACGTAGCTTCCCTCAACGGCCACGAAAAAGTTGTCGAATACTTGGCAACTAAAGTCGGCGCTGAAATCAATCTCGTTGCTAATGATGGTTGTACACCACTTCACATGGCTTCCAACAATGGCCACAAAAAAGTTGTCGAATACTTGACGACAGCTGGTGCCGAAATTAATCGTACTGCTAACAACGGTTGCACACCACTTAACATAGCTTCCTTCAACGGTCACGAAAAAGTTGTCGAATACTTGACGACAGTCGGCGCCGAAATCAACCGTTCCAATAATATTGGTTGGACACCACTTCACGCAGCTTGCTTCAACGGTCACGAAAAAGTGGTCGAATGCTTAGTAACAGTCGACGCCGAAATCAATCGCGCTAACAGTGACGGTTTGACACCACTTTACATGGCTTCCTTCAACGGTCATGAAAAACTTGTCGAATACTTGACGACAGTCGGCGCCGAAATCAATCACATTGACAACGAAGGTTATACACCACTTCACATCGCTTCCCAAAACGGTCACGAAAAAATTGTCGAATACTTAGCGACAAACGGCGCTGAAATGAATCGCGCCGATAATGACAATTGGACACCACTTTACTTAGCTTGCTTACACGGTCACGAAAAAGTTGTTGAATGCTTGGTGACACATAGTGCTGAGATCAATAGCGCTGCTGATGGTGGTTATACACCATTTTACGTAGCCTCCATCAACGGCCATGAAAAAATCGTCGAATTATTGACGACAGCCGGCGCAGATGTCAATCGCGCTGATACCGACGGTCATACACCACTTTACGTAGCTTCCCAAAACGGCCATCTAAAAGTTGTCGAATACTTGGCGAGAGTCGGCGCCGAAATCAATCGCGCTGAGAAGGACGGTTGGACACCACTTCACGTGGCTTCATGGAAGGGCCACGAAAAAGTTGTCGAATACTTGGCGACAGCCGGCGCCGAAATCAATCACGCTGATAATGAAGGTCGAACACCACTTTACATAGCTTCCAAGAACGGTCACGTCAAAGTTGTCGAACACTTGACCACAGCCGGCGCTGAAATCGATCGCGCTGATGACTTTGGTATTACACCACTTGCTACAGCTTCTTTTTTCGGCCACGAAAAAGTTGTTGAATGCTTGGTAACAGCCGGCGCCGAAATCAACCGTGTTGACCATGAAGGTCTAACACCCCTTGACATAGCTTCCATAGGCGACCACAAGAAAGTTGTCGAATATTTAAGGACCATGAGCGCTGAACGAAATTAATCGTCTACTCAGGCGGACCATGAAATTTATACCCTTCGCCCGAGGGTATAAACTTCTAATAATATCCGCTTTGATATTTAAAAAAAAATCATCTTTGCACATTCTTCTATTGGTTGCATTTACTCCAAACGAATTCATTTATTTACTCGGAATTATTCGTAAAAAAGATTTATGTTCATTGGATTTTTTTTGAGGTTTTTGAATTTTTTGTATTTGGAGTTTTTGAATCTCTTAATTTTTTTCGATTGCTTTGGTTTTTTGAGACTTTTGGGGACTTTTTGGATTTTTTTGACGTTTTGGACTTCTTGAACCTCTTGGAATTAGCGCTGTCACCATACTTACACTTACACAATTAGCAATACACTGAGTAATAGTTGGTTTCCAGCTGATTTTCTTTTGACGTTACTGTGGCAACTGTTAGTGACTCTGGTGGGAATCTGTTTCAGAGCCACCCACTCCTTGGAACACAGGGTAATATTAATTCATCATTCGTAACTGATTCAATCATCATAACTCATTCAGTCAACATTCATTCACTCTATATACCTACATTTGTGGACCTAACGATCATACCTATTATATTCTATTCTATTCAATAATAAAACGATAAGACAAAAAATTTGTCTTACCGTTTAGTTTTTGATATTAGTCATCTTTGCACATTCTTTTATTGGTTGCATTTACTACAGAAGAACTAACTTATTTCCTCAGAAGTAATCAGCGATTTAACAACACAAAAAGAAATTAATGTACTGGTAAGCCACGAACTTATATCCACAGTATTTTATGTACTTTAAATAGAAATTACGTTTCTTGGTTTCTTGGATTCATTGATTTTTGTTTTTTTTTTTGGATTGTTGGATTTTTCGAATTTTTTAGGATTAGTGGACTTTTCGGTTATTTCAGATTTTTTTCTATAATCGGTTTTTTGGATTTTTGATTTTTTGGAAAAAATGGATTTTCTGGGTTTTTTCCATTTCTTGACTTTTTTGGATTTTTTATTTTTTTGGGTTTTTAAATCTGTGTTTTGGATATTTTGAACTTTTTGGATATTTTCGATTTTTTGGATTAATGGATTCCCTGGGTTTCTTGGATTTCTTGAATTTCTGGACTTTCCGAATTTTTTGGAGTTTTCGGACTCATTGGACTTTCCGGACTTTTTGGATTTCTCGAATTTTTATTTTTGGGATTTTTCATTTTTTATTTTTTTATTTAATTTGATAATTTTAATTTTTTTAATTTTTGATTTTTCGGATTTTTTGTTTTTTTTTAATTTTGGCCGTTACCAGAGATGTTAGTTTCAATAAAATAAATTAGCGCTGTTGCGGTATCTGCACAACCAGCAATACACTAAATAATGTTTCCCAACCCATTGCGTTTTCTGTTGACTGTTACTATGGCAACTATTCTTAACTACCTAGGGTATTATTTGGGCAATAACGTACCTCAAATCCACGCCATTATAGACCAAAAATAAACCGGAAAGACATAAGAACACAAACGTCGCCCAATAGTTTCATAACGTAGTAGTTACCTAACTGAAATGAATTTTTGAATATTACGTCTGTATTATAAGTTAGAGGTCGCATATATCTAGAACAAAATTGAAAACAAGATAGAAATATTTGTTTAAAATGTTTTGGAATAGATGGCTAAAAACAGTAACTGAAAAAATAAATTACTATATTAATAATAAATTTATATAGAAAAACTGACACTTTGACTTGGTTTACGTGAAACACTACTTCCATTCATGTTAATTAGTTAACTAAATTTGAAGTTGGTTATTTATTATTTACATATGCAGAACAATTATTCTAAGAACGCCGGCGTAACATATAACTAGTTAATACCAGAAAATTTTCATTGTCATTCAAAAAAAATGTTTGCAAAATTTTGTACTCAAAATTTGGTGTAGCTTTTTAAATGACTTAATAATGTTGACACTAAATGGCGAAATGTAAATCAACTGGCCACCGTTATCATAACTCTGGAAACAATGCGGAATACTACGTGTTTGAAAGTACGAGTAAAACTTTTTCTTCACTGATTTATTAGAGGTGCCCTATATTTTGTTCCTTCCAGTTGATACACTGACATGCAGTAAATTCTAAATTTAATAACCACTTTTATCCTCAGGTCGCTGAAGTAGCAATTCGAAAAAGTATAACCGAAGAAGACCACCACAAGTCTTGCTTAAACCTCTAAAATTTAACTCATATTGTGTATATACAGGGTGATTCAAAGGACTATTGCAAACTTTTAATATCGAATTATTTCGCAAAAAATAAGTGAAAAGTTCTAATAAAACTATGATTACCTATTAGTATGTAGAGAAGATACAGAATTTTTAAATTTGAACATTATCAAAACCGCTTTCCACGATCGTCAATTTTAATAACATTTTTATTTGGAGAAAAATGATAAATTAATCTTTTTTATTTGTTCCTCACTTGTAAACATCAATTTACCAAGTCACTGTATTCAACATGAAAATGTCACTTAACTGGCTATAGCCAGTAAAATTTTTACAGCTCTGCTCGTGCTCATACAGCCATGTATTTTAAACTATTATAAGTTGAAATGACAGCCAAAGTTGATTCAGGCAAATTTTCACTCACAATTGCTTCTTCCTCAGTAATATAGCTTGCGCCACACTCATTTCAATACATCGAAGTTTATAATAGTTATTTACAAGTGAGAAACCAATAAAATATTGAACAATACACGCAAGGTAACGGGTTTTTACTGGCTCCAGAAACTGTACTTGCAATAATATCATTTTTATTTTAAAGCACCTGTACAAAATGTATGCAATTAGTACCTATTTATTTTCATTACACATGTCTATTTTTATCAGATCCATTTTCCATATTTGTAAGATACTATTAATAAACATATAACCAGAACAAAAGTGAGAGGCAAAATTAGAAAACCCAGATAACTGAAAATTGTCTTCACCACTTCATCACGTTCGCTTTATCCACCTTAAAAAATTTGATTATTTTTAACTACAAGACAAGTTAAAATTATTCATCATTTATTCGCACTTCTCGCAATAATGCAAAATAAAAAAAAAGTTATTAATGGGGATGTATTTCTGGTAATTGTTAACAAATACAAAGTCTTTCTTAAAAACAAAACAGAATTGTGTTTTCTACAAAATTAAATAAATAAGAAGTCATGCATGGTACCGTTCAGTATTTCCAAAGATCGTCCGAGCTGACTTCTACGAAAAGTGGGAGCATGGAAACGGCAACACCACGATTAAGAAAAGAAAAACATAATTTAGGTAAAGAAGTTTTCTCTTATGAAAGCGAAATTTAAAAATAATGTTACAGAATCGACAAATATCAACAATCTCTAGTCGCAAAGAAAATACGTTGTTTATCCAAACTACACAGGTACTTGATCCTTCCTATTACGAAAGGCAACACATTCATATGAAGATGAATAAAGAAGGTAAGAAAAAAGAAGCAAACTTCCACGATATTTATACTTTGGTTTTAGCTTTCTAGCAAAGTAATACCGAGTAATAGAAGATCCTTTACAAGATTCCCTTCGTTAATTTATTGGGCTGTTGACTCGTACGATGCGACGTGTAAGTGGAAAATACAACCATTTTTTGTTTAATCTTCTCTCTGTGTTTGCATAATTTAAATCATAGTAAACCTATTTGTTTATACTTACAGCATACAATGTTGTTTACACTTTTCGAAAGCAGAATGAGTATCAGAAACTATATCAATAATCATTTTTGTTTAATCATTTTGCATTTTTTTTGTTTACTTGTTTTAATAATAATAGTAAATCTGTTATTATTGCTATTATCTTAAGTTTACACTTTTTCAGACAAACTAGGAGCAAAGTGCTAAAAATAGGCCAACTACTCCGCAGTCCTGGCAATCAGCGGACGGACCATCCTTGAGATATCGGAAATCTGTTTCAAGGCGTTCAGAGAAAATTCATCTACAACAGTCACCGTCCTGGTTCTTCGGGAAATCATCTTTTCTGTCCTGGAATTGTTCGCCAAACTCATTCGTCTTAGAAATTGTAAATACTTATTACATATTGTTTTGAGAAAAGAGATTTAGTATTGACCAGACAGATTGTCCAACTTCCAAACTTGTCGGGGTGTGTTTGATGTACGAACTAAACCAAGGCTGAATAAATCAGCAGAGCAAGTTCCGAAGTTTGACAAATCTTAATTAAGGTTAGAGCGTAGAAAATTCTCGCCGTTTATTTATTTATTTATTTATTAATCATGTTACGGATTATTCCAATTTACACAGATAAACTAAATAAATGTACAAAAGACTGAAAACATATAAGTACCTACTTATATCTAACTTATATCTAACCTAACACTAACTTAGACATAACTCATGAGCAAAATTAACGGCAATTATTGTTAAGAATAGAAAGGAATTCACGTCTGAATATATGTTTTGAATTCTGGAAAAGATCAAACTTGTCTATGGATGCAAATTTGTTTCCAAGTTCCATTAGTCTATTAATTGGATTATTAAAAGCAAAATTTGTTTTTAACGAAGAATGGACTCTAAAAATGTTTACACTACGTGTGTTACAAACCGAAGGATCGGGAACATAGAAATCCAATTGTGATAATATTTCAGGGCTAACAATATGAGCATTTATGACACCAGGTAAAAGGCAACCATCCGACAGTATCCTCCTTGTATGCAAAGAAGGCAGGTTTATAAAATTGGTGATGATCTCGTATTGGCCTTTATGGTGGGGCCAATGCATTCGGAACTCCAAACATCTAAGAAACTTCTTTTGAATTCTTTCCAAATAATCATTATCCGTCTTATAAAAGGGAAACCATATTGGTGAACAATGTTCCAAATGCGAACGTACGAGGGAACAGTAAAGTGTCTTTAAAGAGAACGTAGATAACATGTGACAGTGACGCCATACAAAACCCAACATGTTCATTGACTTTTTGAAAATATAATCGTAATGAGATTTAAAAGACAATTTTGAATCAAACACCACACCGAGGTCTTTTATTTCATTTACTACCTTCAAGACACTGTCACTTATTTTATAGGTATGTTGGTATAAATTTTTTACTTTACAGAATGTTATAACATAACATTTATCAGTATTTATTATTATTATTATT